GGCCTGTACACACCACATCTCTGGGAGCTACGAGCGCCGCAATCCGACCGCCGCACCAGCGCCTCTCAGCAACAGGGCGCCACTGCGTCCGTGAGAGCACCGCGCCACGCCTGTGAGCGAGACAGAATGCTTGTGAGCACACACGCGAGCGTCACAGCATGCCTGCCTGGACGGAGGGGGGGTCCGCACCCCCGTCCCCGTACGCTCGTTACCGCCACGGGGGGGGGGAACCCCCTCGCAACGGGCGTCACGGGTCCGAGCAACAAAAAACAAGCTCTTTCTTGCAGGAGATGTTCAACATACTTCGGCCGGCTTTCAACATGGACCTCCTGTGGTATAGCTGCCAGACCTAAGCCTGCCGCATTTGGGCCCTGCCCCCCGCCGGTCGCCGCAGCGCTTGATGCGGGGGTCGGGGTGGGGGCGCTCCAAGATCGGATGCTGGTTGAAAGGCGTCGTCAGAGGAGGAGGTTGCCCCCCTGCCGTTGCGGGCATCAGCGCATTCGGGCCCGGCGTCGGCGGGGGCTTCATCGGGGGCGCTCTCGCGCTGGACCTCGCCGCGCCCGGCGCCGCGGATGTAGCTGGCCTCCTGGGCGCTGGCGCCGGGCTGCTCGGAGGTTGCGAGGCGGTTCCCCCGTCGCCCCCTGGGCCTCCAGCTTCTTCCTGGACCCCGCCCACGCGGAGACAGACGGCCATGAGCCTCTGGGCCGCCATCGCACTGAAGGCGTTCTCTGGACTCGCCGTTGCGCTCGAGGTGCGCGCCCGATTTTGCAAACGGCAAACTATCCTCCAGCAGTTGAATGGGCCGCGGTGGGCGCCGAGACCAGTCGCTCCCGGAGCCGCGATTCCTGCGGGAACCTGAAACCAGTACCTCCTGCGTGTCCAGACGCCTCGTCATTGAACCGGGCCCCCGCCTGTGCCCGCTGAGCCCATGGCCCGAGAGGCCAGATGATGGTGGGCACGATTCCCATCGCAAGTTCCTTCGAGGCCCCAAGAAACTCGCTCGGGAATCGCACGGGGACCCTTGTCGCAACGTGGCCAAATTCCCCGATTTTTCCTGACATTAAGGCCCCTGGCGAGCAGTGGAGGTGCGGGAGGGTGCAGACTCGAATAATGTCATCGCACGACATCCCTGGACTGCTGCCCCCACGGAGCTCGAAGGAGGTTGGCTTCAAGAAAGATGGGGGGCGCGGCGCAGCATTGGGTGCCGACGTCGCATGATCCAAGGGCCTGGCGATGTCGGCCATCCAGCGCCCCGCACTGAGCCTGGTCAGGGTGGCCCCCGTATCGAGCGCGTTCACCCTCATGCGTTCACCCTCAAGGTCGATCGCGCAGCCCAAAGAAATCCAATATTTTCACGCTGACGACGCGGGGCGCGTCCTAGGCCAGCACCGTCGTCTCGATGATGCCCCGCTGAGGCACGGAGGGAACAGCACCGCTCCGATGGCCCGAGCTGCGCCTCCGACGCCATGAGCTCGCTGCTTCGGTACTCGTCGGGCACCGCAGCGAAATGGGAACCGATGTCTGCGAGGGCCCTGGACTCCCGATTCAACGCCTGCGCGCCCGCCAGGTTGCAGCCCGCGCGGGGGGCCACGAGGCCCTGCGGAGCTTGCGCGATCAGGAAAGTGCTGTCCGGCGTGGTCTCGGCCTGCAGGTCGCGCGACGTGGTCAAGGCCTAGGGCGTGACTGTCTCGTGCTTCTTCTTGCAGAATTCGATGCCCCCGAACGAGTAGGCCGAGAGTCTTTGGCGGTCGGTCATGCCTCGGCACGACGTCCACCGCCTGGGCGGCCGGCGTCAGACTTGTTCTTGGGGCATCCCCTGCTCCTGTGGCCCTTCTGGTGGCGCGCGGCGCACCTCGTGATCTTCGTCTGCTGTTCGATGCTGAGTTCGCAACGCTGTCGTTGCCGTTCCCCTCGGCCCTTGTCCTTGTTACGGGCTCGCTCTCGACGTCGGTCTCGGTGGGCTCGACGAGGCCCAGGAGGAGTCATTGAACCACTGCGGTTCTCCTTCGGCCTGCCGCCGTAATGCTCGCGATCCTTCTTGGCCGCGCGTTTGATGTCCTTGTTGTGCTTCCAAGTCCTGCAGGTAGAACTGGTCGCCTGCAGGTTCAGCGCCCCCTCCACCTGATCCTCGTGCAGGTCGAGGTCCTCGAGCTCTGCCGTGAGTGCCGCCTCGGCTGCCTCCTTGCCTCTCCGTTGTCGTCCTCGGAGTCGTAGCCGCTGTCATCCCCAGAGCCGTCGTCATCACCCGACCGAACCTGAGGATAGGAGGAGGAGGGAGGAGAAATAATGCAGCTGATCGTCGCAACAAGGGAAGGCCCTCGCCCTCGCCGCCAGCAAAAGCTAGCATGGAACAAACGATTGGCTTGCCAGGCAACAACCTCTCATACTCGGTCGAATGCATCTGCCTCAGAGCCTACGCAACGTTCTGGTAGTCGAGATTTCCCTTGCATCAAGGTCCTGAGGTCCTGAGGTTCCCACAGCAACCCCTGGAGCTTGGGAGGCAACCACACGTCGTTGCCATCTGCTTCCGTAAGCTGCGCCTCACGTCGACTCACGTACTGGAGGGTATCCTTCTGCTCTCGAGCTGCTTCGAACAAGGCCGTCCAGCCCGTCTCCCGCAGGTCGTTCCCTTGTCGTTTTTACGATCGTTATGTCCATGCGCCCGAGCACGTTCTCGATCCAGGTGCTGCTTGTGAAGGTGGACTCGGGAACGTCGTCAAAGTTGGCCTGCATACTCTAACTAAACACTTTCAGAAACTTCTCTGCCCAACGCCAGGCCGGTACGTCCGCGTTCTTGTCCCATCTGCGAAACGCCCGGCGCTATTGTCAATAATAGTTCCAGCCCGGCCATGAAGGTGGATCCGAGAAGTCTCCTCGTCCACCCGATGGCCACGCACTCGTTCTCCAGTCATCGTGGCCCCAGCTGCTCGTACCGTTAGAGCTCGACTACAAGAAACCACCCACAAGAAGCCCAATCCTGGGATCCCAGGGCGTCCGTTGATTTTTGCTCTGGGAACGTCACGCTCTCCATAGCAAGACCACCGAAACCAAAGAAACCCAGGGCACCAGGTGCCCTGGGTTTCTTGGTTCTTGGATTTCCAAGGTGTCGGACGCCCTGCTAGCCTTAAGTCGGGCCTGTCCCCCTACAGCCTACAGGGGGATTTTCGACGAACAATTTAAAAAAAAAAAAACACCCAAAAGATAATCCAGAAATAATCCAAAAATGGTCTGGGGACTATGTTTTGCATATTTGTTACCTTTTTGGGGTATTTTTGTAGTATTGTTCATTTTTCGTCGAAAATCCCCGTGTAGGGAGACAGGCCCGACATAATGCTAGCCTCCAGGGTGCGGGTTTCCGCTGTACTGCAATCCCAGTCGGTGCCAGTCTTGAACCAGTCGTCCGTGTACCAGCCGTCCTTGTCGTTGCCGCCCTCGTACCTGACCCCTCGCGCTGCTGCCTCGGGCCCAGAAGACTCCGACTGCTTCTTCGCCCAGGGATCGAGCCCGGCCCTGGTCCAAGCTCTGGCACGCCGAGTGCTGCCTGCGGCGGTCGACGTCACCGCGGCCGACAAAGGTGCTGCTCCAGTCGGCCCGTAGAGTAGGGATGCGCGATAAGGATGCAAAGGTTATGTTGCTCCCATAGTACTTGAGGGCCGCATCCCATACATAATTTCGGCGGAAAAGTGTCGAAACAGTGTCGAGACAGTGCCGAAATAGTGTCGGACGAGTGTCTCCCAGGGCCCGACACGTGAAAACCCTTGAGTTTCGGTACTTTTCTGGTGCTCGAGATTCTTTCTGGTGATCAAGGCTAGAGTAGGTTGGAACATCATATGCAAGGGCCTTGGAAGGCCACTTCGGAGTTTCCCGGGCGGGGCGCGGCCAACCAAAGCGGCCAAGGGTGGACCGAGGAGGCAAGGATGCAAGGGCACCCTTGGGAAGTTTGCCAATCCTTACCATGCGGGTTGATGAGTATCGTTTAACCGATCCCCATCCCCAGCGGCGTGGCCTGGGAACCACTGGCCGATTTACCCCCCTAGATGGGGATACAGGTCGTTCCCTTCGGGTTTCGAAGGGTGTATCCCCAGCTGGGGGGTAATTTGGTGGGGGTCTTGAAGGGGATGGGGATGGGGATTGGTTAAACGATACCGAGTTGACTCTACCAGACCATGGTCTCTCGGACCGCCCTCTTCGCCAACTCAGTCAGCTGCGCGGCTGACGATCCTGCCGCAGCCGCGGTGCTGGCCTCCAAGCTCGACGGGCTCCCACCCGCGGCGCCCTCACTCGCGACCACTGCCAACACCGCCGCCCTGTCGGGCTCATCATCGTCCCCCACGCCGCGGAACCGCGAAAATCTGACCCAGAACGAGCTCCCCACCGAAGGCTCGACAGAGCTCTGTGCCAGTCGCCTCCCTAGCGCTGGCTCATGCCCCCACTGGTCCCTCAGCAAGGAACCCCGCTCCGCTACCAACTGTGGCAGCCGCACTCCCCCCAGATGTATTTTGGACCTGGGCCAATCAAAAAACCGAAATGCACATCCACGAGCTAAACCTACACTGACACAACAAGCATCCTTCCACATGGTGGGAATACGCGAAGCAAAAAAAACTGCATCAGCTGCTCGACGCTCTAGGAAGGCCCCGACCTTGACCTTTTCCTCATCTATCCTACCACCCCTTTCCCCGACGGTTAGGACAACTGGGCGCCTTGATTAGAAGAAGGAGAAGACGAATCATAAAAAACAAGCACAAGAAAAGGAAACACAAATGACAATACATGAGAAACACATAAGCAACTGCATAATCATGAACTTTCGGAGGTCGGCGCGGATTTCTTAGATCTGCGCTGGACCCCCCTGCCTGGTGCGCGAAGTGTGCAAGCCCAACGCAGATCCAAGAAATCCGCGCAGATCTCGGAGAGTTGATGTTCATGGCATGTTGTCATCTTCGATGCCTCTCCCCTCGCAGACCTCCAACGAATCCGAACCATTGGCGGGTGAGATCCTGATTGACCTCGGCGTCCTTCATCACCGCGGCCTTGTCCCGCGACTTCCGCTTGCCACCTGGCGCCTGGGCCTGGTCCGCACTGGGGGCGGCCGCCTTGCCGCTGGGCGCCTCGGGGGCCTTACACAGAGGCCCGAAAGCCGCGGCGCGGACCGTGACGTCGACTACGATTGGGATGTTCGTGCCGAGCTCCTGCGGGGGGGGAGCACAAGAAGCACCGCTGCTCCACGGACCTCTCCTGGGGCTGCGCTCCAGCAAGAACTCCGAGGACAGTCTGGTCGTGGCCACGAGGGCCCTCCGGGACGAGCAGCGGGATCGGCACTCTTTCCCGCCCCGAGCTCCAGGATCTGGGGGGGATCGGCGCCGACGCGCGCCTCCACCTCCACCAGCTCGCGGGTCAGCAGCGGCACGAGCATGCGGCCCTGCGCGGTGGGGAAGCGGCCAACCTCCACGCCGCCGGCGTCGAAGCGGATGAGGCCACCCTCGCTGGGCGTGCCAGCGTCTCCCCCGGGCCTGCCCCTCTTCTTCTTCGTCTGCACGTCCCACCGCAATCCCAGCCTCAGAGAAACAAAGTACGGCAGAAGCATACATTCTTCGAACTCTGCGCGGGTGTCTTCGATCGGGGCTGGATCCCCCTCCCTGGCGCGCGGAGCGCGCCAGGAGCGGCGCCAGAGGCGGCCCAACGACGAAGCAAGAAATCCGCGCGGAACTCCGAGAAAGTACAGTCGGACCTAGGACGGAAGAACATCCTTCCAGAACGTGCGACACTCCGCCAGCCAAAACACGTACATAACACCCAAGGGTAGCCTCTCCAGGACGCATAGGAACATCTAGAAGCGACACGAAGAACACCAAGGTACCCTCCCCGAACCGACCTCCATCTGGCATCCCCCCGTCCGACTGTAGGTGCATGACTTGTCCGGCATTCGAAGCCTGGCGCCAGCCCGGAGCAGCGGCCCCTCCTCGAGCGTGCGCTCCAGGCCGACTCGCGTGGTGGCGTAGGCGTCGAACGCGATGCTGCCCAGGGGGAAGCTCCAGTCGCACGCCTCGGCATAGGTCGGGCGTGTCCCCCTAGAGGCGAATTCTGGGCGACAAATCAACAACATAGCCCAACAATACGTCAAACCAGCCAAAAAAAACTCGAAGCACATCGCCCCCAGACTAGTCTTAAAACTATGTTTGAACACTCCTCCTGCAGGAGATCGGGCCCGACTTGAACACGAGGGGGCTGCGACGTCCGTGGCCGCTCCTGGGGCCCAGACCAGGCCAGCAGTGCGGCGACCTCGGTTTTGACGTGACTATGGGTTCGATCGCGAACCTCGCTCAGGGACAAGCTCTGGGAACTTGGAATATTTGAGCAGGGACCGGCCGTCCCGTCATTCCTATAGTCATGCCACGAAGTGCTCTTAGAACCCACATATCTTTTAAACACAGAAACAATACTATGATAATATAAACCCGATGTGATGAAACAGGACAGACTCCGCCAGAAGTGTTCTAAGAACAGTTCGTGGAAACCACAAAAGTGTCTTAGAACATTGTTTGGTGGGGCTACAGGGCAGTTTTTTTTCATACATATGATGTTAAACAAATAAGATTTTAATTCATGGTTAGTGTATGGATAAGATTATGCATGAACCCATCGTTGTTTTCATACTAAATCCCTGCATGTTTCATACATGATCCGCATGTACAAGCGAGCCAGGGCGCTTCGCCGCCGCTTCAGATATCTATTCTTGTCCCCTGCGAGGCTCAGCCACTCGCCGGCAGCCTACCGCAGCTCCGAGGAGCCGGGGCGCGCCCCTCGGCCCCGACGCCCTGCTGCCTGCGGCCTCCTCGACACGTCTCTCGACGCCTCCCAGGCGGCCCAGGCGGCGCCGCTCGGCGGTGGACAAACCTCCCTTTAGTAGACCTCCCCTCAGTGAAAACGGCCTGGGACCGAAACCGACGGACCTGGGCCCGCAAAAATGACGGCGGCGACGCCCTCTCGCGAACCGAAAACGGCCAATTCCTTAATCGACGTGTCAGGATAGGAGGTCTGTCCACCCCCGAGCCGCGGGGAGAGCAAACTCCTCGAGCAGGCTCGCCGCCCGACCCCTCTGCTGCGGCAGGCTCGCGTCGCGTGCGGCGTGGGCTTCTAACACCGACGAGGCTCCAGGAACAGCCCAGGAGAGCTGCGAGAGCCGTCCAAAGAGAGAGCCCAAAGAGGGCAAACTCGTTGATTCCCAATGGTTTTTATAATGTTTGTCGTCTTCTCACGTTTTCCCGCTTCCAACCCTCGAACCCTTCCGGAACGAACGGTCGGGAAGCGCTCCACCTGGAACGATCGGCCACTCGACTATTTCTGAAGATTCCTCACTTTAGATTGAGCAAGGGCCGACCATCCCGGCATTCCTATAGGCCAACTACCAAATGTTCTTAGAACCCAGAAATGTTCCAAGAACAAAACCAAGTTTCTTAGAACCCTACCCCGAAGTACTGAAACAAGACAGACTCAGCCAGATATGTTCTAAGAACACTTCGTAGAAGCCACGGAAGGTTCTCATAACATTCCTTTTGTGGCCTATAGGCGAGCCAGGACGCTTCGCCGCTGCTTGAGTAGTGAGCACTGTTTTATTCGGCGTTTCGACAATGGGCGGCAAGGAGGGGTGCAGGGGGGGTCTGGCTCCAGACATCTGCTCAGTGCGACTGTCTGCAAGATAGCGGCCTCTGGAGGAGGCTCCACCCGCTCGAAACTGTCGCCAACATAAGAGCCAAGATCTCCTCCAGGGGGAGGAGGGGGGAAGGAGGTTGAGGGGCACGCCCCGATCGGCAAAACAATGAATAACAAAACGAGGACGATCGAAATTGGTACGGCAAGAATGGATACAATGCCCAACAGCAGTTCCGTTTATGTTTGAACAGGACCCTCTGTCCGCGCCGCCGCGGACGTTGTCCTCTGGAGACAAAAAAGCCGCCTGCCCAACAGCGGCCGCTGTCGGTTTTGGACCACATGTGCTGTTCGGCATTGCACCCATGTTTCCCGCACCCATTTTTCGGGCGCCCAGGCAGAAGGACACGACCGACTGAAGCCTTGGCGCCCGGCGGCCGCGGCGCCGGCTCCTTCGGCGGCGTGTCCAGCGCGGGCCCCTCGACCTTCGCGCGCTTGCCGGCCCGCGCCTGCGCGTGCGCAGAAGGCACCCACGCCCACCGCAGGCAATGCTTGGCCAGGGCCACGCTCCTCCTCCTCCTCCTCCTCCTCCTCCTTCTCCTCCTCCTGCTCCTCCTGCTCCTGCTCCTGCTCCTGCTCCTCCTCCTCCTCCACCAGGGCCACCCTGGGCTGTGGCCTTGTGTTGCTCCCATCGTACTTAAGGCACACATCCCATAAATAATTTCGAGCACTCAGAAAGGTATCGAAACGGTGTCGAACGAGCATCGCCTCCCAGAGCCCGACACGTGAACACCCTCCAGTGTCGGTTCGTTCTTGGTCTTCGATGTTTTTCCTGGTGATTCAGGCCAAAATAGGTTGGAACATCATGACCGCGACTCTGGGTCACCTACGGCAAGTTCGCGTCGGGCCACCCCTGGCGCTGGTTCCCGACACCACGCTGGATCGTGCGACCTGGAATGATCGGCCGCTTCCGAAACGTCCAAGTCGTTCCACATCGAACGAGTCTGTTGAGCAGGGACCGACCGTCCCGGCATTCCTATAGGCCTACCACGACATGTTCTTAGATCCCAAAAATGTTCGAATAGCAAGAACAGAGTTCTTAGAACATAAACCCGATGTGACAAAACAAGACAGTCTCAGCCATACATATTCTAAGAACATTTTGTGGAAACCACAAAAGGTTCTTAGAACATTGTTTGGTAGGCCTGCAGGGACGCCAGGACGCTTCGCCACTGCTCGAGTCTGGGTCGCCCGCGGCATTCAAGGCTGAACGCCAGCGTCGGGGTCGCCGCCGGTCGACGCGACGCGAACCTGCCGTAGGGCTCCGCGCACCGCGGCCCGAGATACGCGGCGCGCGGGCATCCTTGCATCCTCGCGAGGCCGCCCTGGAGAAGGGCGCCTTCCCAACGCAAGCCTTGGGTCGGGCATGTCCGCCCACAGGCGGATGTTGCAAGACAAATGAAAACAGCCAAATAATATTCAAACATCACCAAACATAGTAAACAAGTCGCCCCCATCTTATGTGTTGACTATCTTTAAATCTTCCGACTTAACCCAAGCCACGATGCGCGAAGCGCGACTGCCTTCGCGCCCCCGGGGTGGGCGGCGCCCTCGGGGCCGAGACGCGGAGGATCAAAACATTACCCCGGGGCCCAGGATGGCCTGGGCCAGGCAGGGTGGCTGACTACCTACCAGACCACCCCAACCCAACCCGAAGGCCCGAATTTCAGGTTGGGGGGGGGTACGGGCTCCAGGCGTCTTTTTCTATATTCCCCGACACCCCCCACCACTGGAAATTGAAGGAAAATTGAGGCCTTCGGATTGGGTTGCAGGAGAGCCCACCAAATATCGAATCGACAAGTCGGATCGGCGATCGACATGAATCGAATCGGCGGAAATCGGCAGCCGAGTCGGGAGAAGTCGAATCGGCGGACATCGGCAGGCTAGTATGCCTCTAGTAAGGAATCGGAACCCACATCGGAACCCGAAGCCGAATCGGATCGGAATCCGAGACCACCGAAGTCGAATCGAATTGAATCGGAGGAATCGAAACGAGCCCCATTGGGTTGTGTTGTTCTGGTGGGTGGTGAGTGGCAGCGCAGTTGCACGAGCCCCTTTCTGCGCATCGCCTGCTTGGCGGGGGCCTGCCTGGGCTGCGGCAGCACGAAGGGCCGAGCGGGCGCGCTCGGCGCCGAGGTGACCTCGGCGGCCCTCTCGGCCGGCTCGGTCTTCCGGGTGCTGCTAGAAGTGCCCCTGGCCCAAGGTTCGGGAAACAAGCAATGATCTGAACATAAAATCTCGGAGGTCCGCGCGGGTTTCTCGGATCGGCACTGGAACCCCCCTGGCGGCGCCTCCGGCGCCGCCCATGACGCGCTCCGCGCGTCAGGGAGGGGGTCCAGCGCCGTTCCGAGCAATCCACGCGGACCTCCGAGTTTTTGTGTTTATGTCATTGTTTCTTCCACTGGAGGTGTCCCTAAGATTTCCAAGGCGGCCCCCACGGCCTCTGGAGGACCCCTCACGAAGCCCAGAGGGCCCCAGGTGCCCCAAGGTGGGGCGGAAAGCCGGGGGGCACCACGGGCCAGGGGCACCGTTGGCAACCCCCGAGTCTTCACTGCGACGGAGCGGGGGGCTCCGTGAGGCACTGGGCGCGGGGGCTCCTTGGGGAGACCAAAAGGTACCGATACCGCTTCTCCCCGGACCTCTCTTGGGCTGCGTTCTGATCAGGATTTCGAGGCGAAGCCAGCGGTGGCGACAAGGGCCTCCCAGGCGGCCCAAACATGATCGACCCACGAACCAAGAAAGGAATATAGACATGTGAAACATGGCAACGCTTTTAAGACACCGGGTTGGGCGACGGGAAACTGCAATGCTGAGTGTATCGATCTTGATGAACCGTGCCAAGGGCTGTGCTGTGCTGAGCAGCCCTGTTTTGGGATCGAGACCTCCTTTGCATCCCAGTCCTGACCGAACTGATCTGGATCTTAAGCTCGAGCTGCCTGAGCACGTAGTAGCTGCCCCAGAGCTAGTTGGAGTGGAAACGTGCGGGACGATCAATCAACTCGACCTCACAATCCGACTCAGCTCCGAAAAGGAACGATCCGACATGGGCACAGGCTCACGGACGCGCCACAGGACGTGCTAGGGGCGCACTAGGGGATGCGCCAGGGGGCGTGTCAGGGGACGTGACCTGAACGTGTCAGGGACCTGCCACGGGACGTGCTAAGGCGCGTGCCTTGGGACGGCCAGAGGGCGTCATGCCAAGGGACGTTGCAAGGGGCGCGCCAAGGAACGGGCAGGGGAAACGCCTGGGGACGAGCCAGGAAACGCGACAGAGGACAGGCCAGGGAACGTGCCACGCCGAGTGGCGTGCTAGGGGGCGTGCCAGGGCATGTCACGCCAGAACGTCGCAAGGGACGCGCGAAGGGACGCGCCAGTGCGCCAGGGACGCCCCACGGACGAGCGGAGCTAGACTGCGATGCGCTCTACTGCGACAAGAGTTTCGCTCGATACATCCGCAACACATAGACATTCGCCTGCGCAACCTGGACACGTGAAAACAAGCGTCTCGCTCGAGACATCTTCAACACATCCTCATGTTAGACATCCGCCTGGGCGACCTGGGCACGTGAAAACCAAGCGTCTCGTTCGAGACGTTCTCATCACCTCCTCATGCTAGACATCTACCTGGGCAACCTGGACGCGTGAAAACAAGCGTTTCGCTCGAGACAACCTTTCGCTCGAAACACCCTGCTCAAATCCTCATGTTAGACATCCGCCTGGGCGACCTGGACACGTGAAAAGAAGCGTCTTGCTCGAGACGTTCTCATCACCTCATCATGCTAGACATCCGCCTGGGCGACCTGGACATGTGAAAACAAACGTCTCGCTCGAGACATCCTCAACACATATTCATGTTAGACATCCGTCTGGGCGACCTGGACACGTGAAAACCAACATTTCGCTCGAGACTACCTCGACACCTCCTCATGCTAGACATCCGCCTGAGCGACCTGGACACGTGAAAACCAAGCGTCTCGCTCGGAACAACCTCAACACATCTTCATGTTACATCTGCCTGGGCGACCTGGACACGTGGAAAAACGCGTATCGGTTGATACGTTCTCAACACGTCCTCATGTTAGACATCCGCCTGGGCGACCTGGACACGTGAAACCAAGCATCTCGCTCGAGACATCCTCAACACATCCTCATGCTAGGCATCTGCCTGTGCGACCTGGACGCGTGGAAAACAAGCGTTTCGCCAGAGACGTCCTCGACAAATCCTCATGCTTGACATCTGCCTGGGTAACCTGGTTGCGTGAAACCGAGCGTCTCGCTCGCGACATCCTCAAGACCTGAACATGTGAAAACAAGGATTTCACCTGAGACATCCTCTGAATTCTGATCCCCAAGAAAGGAACATTCTATAAGACAAAACAAACGTTTCGCTCGAGATATCCTCAACACATTCTGCAAAACAAACGTTTCGTTTCTTCGATCGGAATTTCAACAACCAGCGTTTCGCTCGGGACATCTTCACAAATAACTCCGCCAGCCCTACGCGACCTCGTCAACTTAGCGCAAACAATTCCGCCGCCCCCTACGCACGTCGATTCCGGGGGGATGCGGCCAAAAGAGAACCCTGGGCCCCAGCCCATTTTCGGGGAAACATGATGGGCCTGTCTTCCACCACCACCACCATAAGTTGGAAGGAGGTGGAGGACGAGGAGGAGGAGGACGAGGAGGACGAGGAGGAGAAGGAGGAGGTGGAGGAGGAGGACCCCCTCCCCCTCTAACTTCTGGTGGTAGTGGTGGTGGAAAACAAGCTCATCAAAACAGGGTGACAACGG